ACGTAGCATTATAAAATGTTATTTCAAACTTTTTTTTTTGAAAAACGTTAAATAATACAGCTCAAACTCATTTGTTTCATAATAAAATTTGATTATTAATATTAAAAAACTGCGAAATAAAAAACTTTACATAAATTCTCCAAATATGAAATTGAATAATCATTTATTTCCAATACATTTCTGTAACAAATACATTCAGATTGATTATATAAACTACACAAATTACCTTGTTTGTTTACTTCTAAACCTACAACGAAGTTCGTTTTATACCAATTCTAATTCACGGCGAGAATTATATTACTTATTTACCAAAAATCTTGTTTCTGAACGTGTTACAATACAACGATTTTCAAAAGTATAACCAAAATTTTCAAATAATGTAATTCAAATATTGAAGTCATTTTTACAATTTATTTTATAACACATATATTTAGTATAAATTCATACACTTGATAATGGCTAATATTAATTACTTTTTTGTTGTTTTTTTATGTGACAGTTATAGAATTACAATACAAACATGGTTTTTAACTGGATCTATATTCACGAAAAGATGTAAGTGTAGATGTATATTATCAGAAAGTCCAAGTATTGATATAAAACTATTAATTACTTATTTTATGGTGTTTTCTATTCTAATTACAGATACAGCTGTTAATAATGTGTAAAGCCGTGAAGAACTAAAGATTGAAAGGTTCTCACTACATTTATTTCATTTGCAATTAATTAATGTTTTTTTTTTTAAATGTATTTGTTTCGTATGACTCTGATAATAAACATTATTAATGTTGTTAAAACATATCAATTGGTTAAGGACCTATGAATTCTCGCTTAAAAAGTTATTTAACTGCTGAAATTTTTAATATGCATCTCAATCTTTTATATGTTTTTTCTTACTATTGTTGAGGACGAATTGGACAAGGTAAATATTTAGGTCGGCTCGCGTCCTTTCAACTGCATTAGTCAAAAAAAAAACACTCGATAGAAGAATCCGGACAGAGGTGAAGAAGAAAAGAAAAAAGAGAAATATCATAACAAAAACAAAACGCTCGCCGCACCCTTTTTGTCTTAGAAGTGTTGATTTTCCTTTGGAGTCGGATGCTTTGAAGGGCGAAAAAACGAAAGAAAGGGCCCAAACGCCGCAAAACAAACCTGTCCCCCCACAACGAAGCGCGGGACGGACCATCGTGCATCCAGGTGAAATTGAAATGGTAAATATTTACACAATACCCCGATGATGATGATGAAGAAGATAATAATAATAACAACAATATCTCGACCACCCAAGAAGACCTGTTCGAAGTGTTAACTAACCCAGCCCGACGGCCGCCGACAAGGCTGATTGCCAATGCAGCGAAGTGTCTCGAAACAAGAAAAAAAAAAGGGAAACAACACAGAAACAACGCGCATATAAACCAATTAGCACTTCTTGTTCCAACCGTGGAAGGCCGAAAATCTAGTGAAAATTTAACCTTGGAGATCTGGTATATTGAATCGAGCGTTCCGTTAAGAAAATGAAAATATGAACATTTGCAATTCATAATTACATCTACCACCTGAGTTATAGTACAACACATAAATAAATGAATTCATTTTATGAATCTATTTCTTATATTTAAATAGAATAAAAATCTACGCTATAATAAATTTACCTGTGAAAGTATTAAGATTTTTTAGTATTTCAATCAAATTACTTACTATTAATAAGTAGTTTCGCCTTGGCACTGGGCATAATTTACTAATGATCATCTCACTAACGTCTGTGAAATTAATGAAAATACTGTACTAAAAACAGCAATTATTTAAGTATGTTTAAAATTAACGTTCGTTTCTTTTCTGTGTGCGAGTGCTCATGTGAACATTTTGTTCATTTCTTCTCTATTTTTTTTTTTTCGCTCTGCCCGTTGATTCGTTTTGGGGATGGGGCAATTAAATAATAGTAGTAATAACCGGAAGAGTGAAAAATGCATCGCTGTGGAAATATTTACAGAGGAAGTACCGAACGGAATCCCATATAATCTCAATTTTATGAAAAATATAAACGCAAACATTGCCCGGAAATGTCTATAGACAGAGAGATTGCCGATCAAAAAATATATTTATGATGGTGGAATGAGGAGCAGGGGAGGCGAGCGGAGGAAAGGGCAGACGTTGGGCCGGATTGGCGGCGGTGGTTCACGAAGAGCTGGCGTTCGCTGGGGGCGGCGGTCTATACCTACCCATGCATCGGACGAGGACGGCCGGAGGGATCAAAAGCCGCCGCCGCCGTCACCCCCGCAACCCCGTCTACCTACGTATTTAACGTACCCGAGCAACCGCCACCCCCCACATATACACACACACATAGATTCACCCCCGATCGGCAATGCGCTCGCGCCATCTATCGCCTTTAAATATTTGCACAAAGATTTCGCTTTGTTTTCCTTCCTATATACAACTTTGTGTTGTACTGATCCTTCAATGCAGTACATTATTAAGAAATTATATTTTTTCGAGTACGAATAGAAGTAAATCTGATTGATACCTTCCGCTTAATCCACAATCGATAGATTATTAGCATTATATGCAATAAATGAGTTCCTCACATTTCCAAAATTAACTTTCTTCAATATTCAACAATTTATAAAAAAAAATCCTACCTTGATTTTATTTAAGAACATTTTTCTAGTGAATGGATGACAAATCTTATTTGAAGCGACATTTTTTTAACAAACCACTTTCGATATAAACCATCTAAGTCCAAACGACATTTTTACTAACTATATTATGATAATTACCGATGCTGTATAAACTAAAAATTCATTACCATGTTAAAACTGTACATGCCCTAGCAGGGCATTATTATAATATTTTTGTAAATGTACAGGAAAGAGGAATTACTATTAATTTGGTTGGTATGTCAAAGGATGAATAGGTCATAGGTCATACCATCCGATGTTGATTCAGTTGAGGAAGTTGTCTAAAAATATGATGGGTGTAGAAATTTAAGAATTTCTAGCTTTTCGAAGAGTTAAGTTCAATAGAAATGAAATATTTGCTTTATCAACATCCAGAAATAGATAATTTATTGTATGTATTTTTTATTACATTCCCTACTCAGGCATTATTAAATGTTATATAATAACACTTTAAACATCATTTAAAAAAGATAGAAAGACTATTTAACGATGCACGACGCAATTATTATTAACATAACGGTTGAGAATTATTATATTCCATTCATAAGTATCATGTGTATATTTGTTTATTCTTAAGATATATTGCTTGTCTCAAATAGTCAATGTTCTCGAGTAAATAGTGTTTTTCTTCAAATATCTTATTTCGATATAAAAAAAATATCTTTGAAAGTATTGAAACTTATGTAATTCTTCCTCGTCTTTACTATGTGTTCTATTTTTTTTCTGAAAATACAGTCCTGTGATATATGCGACAAACGGGAACCATCCATCCCACAATCCGCTAGTTCTGTTGACCCAATCGATTTTCGGTGCGCGGCCATAACACACTACGGGCACATAGACATACGCCGCCTCCGCCACCAAATGTCTGTGTATAGCGGAGGCGGCGGAAACCGGTATTTCATTGTTATTCTAAATTGTATGGAGAGAGAGATAGAAATAATAGAAAGAATCGTTTGAGGGTGGGAGCGGCGGTTGTCCAACATCAGGGACTCTGTGTACAATACTACTATTATGATCATTGCTATTGTTAATGCTAAGGCGGCGGCGGCGACGGTGGTGGCGCATATTACTGGCATGATTTAGTGCATCGTAAATATGGCCACTTGCACTAAACTGTTTCAATAAACCGCGAAGTTAATTGCACTTAATTCTGTTTGCCGCTCCTCCGTAACAACCAACCATCCGTGCACCACACTAAATAATGAATATAGCCCCCGACGCATGTGGAAATTTGATCAAAATTAACAGGTAGCCTGAACAGCCCTACCAGAACACACTCAAATCAATCTAATTTTTATTTATTTTATCATTTCTCTTATAATTTATGTATTGCATTCAATAATTAACGAAATAGAGTAACTGTCTCAATTTTGAAAGTTAAAATCTTAAAATTAACAATATTATTATGATTGTTCATCAAAACATATTACAAAAATTGTGTAACTAATGAGGAATACTGTACGTCTTCTATAAAGAAATATAATCAACTATAAAACAATATGCAATAATGCAAATAATATCTAAAGAACGACCACCAACATGTATTAGTTAGTGGTTACAACATTCTATTTACCAATCTGAATTACAAGAATATTGTAACATTAAAAGTTTATTGTCAATGAAATACGCATTCACGTTCTTGTATTTTCTGATTTACTTCAATAATAAATTATGTAAATGTTGCAAATAAAAAGTATTATTGTTAATTAAATTCAATATGAAGAGAAATACAGTGTAATAGACAGGTTTGTTCAATATTGGAGATATTTAAAACATATTCATAATTGTCTAAGGTCGTTCATTATTAAAACAAGTATCGTCTATTTACTTATAATTATATAATACGACGGTGATTACCATGAATTCATATTTCCCACGAATACGTAAACGATTATTTGGAGAAGTGCCCCGTGGCATTTCCGGTTTCGAGTGATACCGGACGATGCGCCGGAAACGGGTCGTCGCGTGGCGTCGCCTTCGGACGTGGGGCGCCTCGCCACGTGACCTCTCGTAATGCGGCACTAATTATTTAAAAATTAGGGTTAAAATAGCGCGTGTGAACTCCACCTTCGCCACTTCACCTGAAGGAAAACGAATTGGCGGACGCGTGCCGCAAGAAGAACACCCAATAACCGGAAATGTTGCTCACTTAAAGAATCACCATGACGACAGAAACCGAAACATTCGGTGACATTTGTTATGTGAAGAGTGAAAACAAAGTGCGGATCGGATGGCGCTAATCCTAAATCCACCGTCTCTTAGGGGAAAAGGAATTGGGATGGAAGGCTAAAATCACGACATCCAAATCCATTACAAAAATATTTCTTTATTTTCATTTAAGATTTCTTCCCTGTTTTACAATATCGTATCCGTAGCACGGAGAGAGAGAAAGAGAATCGGTTAAGTACACTTATTGCTTAATAAAATACGTGTGGATCGATTTTTCTTTTTATTATTCAATTATAGTTACGCAATCGCGGCAAGTCGTCATTGCAGCTCGCCGGAAAACTTGTTATGCATAATTCCGATAACACAAATAAACTTGTTGTTGCCGCGAAATTGTTAATGGGCATTAACAATAGAGAATATGCGGCTTGATTGACTCTCAAGAGTGGTGCATGTGTGTGATTGCAATTATGTTTTCATTCAAAGCAAGTCCGCGCAAAGGCCACACATCTCTGTACAAATTAAATATTCAATTAAAAACATTACAGAAAATAACGTACTTGCTAAATCCTCGTTACAATATTAGAACGGAATCCCCGTTCCGACGTAATATCCATATGAAACCTAAACAATCGTTTCTCCTATCACAGAGCGTATTCATTTCCCACGTTGAAAACAATCCTTACAAAATACAATTTCAAAATATGCAATCGATCAAGAGAAAGAAGGAAATTAGATCAAGTAACATTTGGCAGTAAAAATTGGTGAATATATCATCAAATTATTGCAATTGTATAATTTTAATTTTGAAAAAATATCTAAGTTGGCTTTCACTTATTGTCAGTACTTGAAAATTAACGCTCTTTTTTTCTTAGAACACAGTCATTTACAATATACCAATTAAATTATTAATAATATTTCGAGTAAATAAAAATAATATAAGAATAATCAATGCGATGTTGATTATAGAATAAATACTATAACGCGGAATGTTGACAAAATGATCTCCCTATAACAATAAAATATACATTCTAACATAACCCAATGTAATGTTGTAATTATTTGTTGCTTAAATAGAAATGATGTTACGAAGGTCTTACAGATCGGTGACAGGACCGGAAACAACCTGATACGAAGGTGTATGATGCTGTGACATCATGGAGGACGAGGACTGCGATTCTGTCGTCGTCTTGCTTCCGTCATCTGACATATCCGCGAGATCCTTCTGCCTCAAATGAATGGAAGATAATCTGCAACAAAGCGAAACAGAGACACATTTTTGTTCTTTAGTGATTAAATATTTAACTTGTATCATGTTTTGTTCAAACCAAGATAAGATTGTAAATGGAAAGCGTAACGGAGTTTTTTTGTTTTGTTTACAGAAATTGTAACTGTTATAAAGAACTCACTGTAATATCTTCTGGTCCGACACCTCCTTCTTGGTCCTGGCGTCTTGGAGTTCGCGCCTCAATAGCAGGTTCTCCTTCTCCAACTCGAATACTTGTCGTGCTGAGCTTCCTGTGTCATCATGCATGGTAGGCGACGCGAACGTCAAACTATCCTCGGATCTGCAAAAGTCCGAAACTGGTAAAATAGCAGCAGTGCTCGAAAACTTAATGCCGAGTTTGTCTTTCTGAAGTTCGCATCAAGTTTAAATGTATTCTGGCAGTACGGTATATTGTTCATTAAAACTGGGTTGAATTATTTTTGGTAAAAAAAAATGTTTTGTACTTGTTTTCCTTTTATCCCCTCCGGGCTGTTGGAAAGTTATGGCTGGCAGATGGATAAAAAGGGAATATTCGGACTGTTTCAGCAGTTCGTGCCGAATTGTCGGTGGCGCGAATAGCGCTTGGGGATGACGGTGGAGGCGGCGGGTGCAGATAGCGCCCACCATGCCAAGATCATGCCTTATCTCGCAGCCATATTTCGTCACCAAATGTAAACACGTCGAGAAAATTACTTGCACACACTCCCATTGGTCGTGGGTTGGATGCTTTAGCTAGGACAACCTTATGCTTATCCTTTGATGCACCGAAAATACAGTTTCATAGCTCTCCAATTGTCATGAACAAGCATAGCCTAATTCAAATAGATTATCACATACCTGCTATTATTCATGTTGAGAGATTTCATTTGCTCCTCCAGCTTCGATAACCTCTCACTGTTGCGACTTTTCTCCGTCGTCAAATGAAATTGACCCTGGAACAAACGGATTTTATATTATATTATAGCTATTAATCTTTAAATTAGGGCGGAAATACATTTTGTTTATTATTCTTTATATTAAAAGAAATAGTTACATCAAATCTTCAAAAATAGACAATTATTTTCAAACTAATTATTTAATCAAGTGAGAACTAATTCTCCATTAACTGTTGATGTTTAAAAATGTAGCTTATGCTTATAACTAACTACTAGTAATCAATTAGAAAAAAGGAATGTGTAAAAGTAAACGAAATTTTAAATGTGATGTAATATATAATTAGAATGATTAGTGATTAGAATTCAAGAACGAATTTCTTATCAGAGGATTTAGCAGGATTATCCGTTTAACTTATTTATTTACAATGTGCTCTTATTATTCTCAATTCCAATTATATCGCGCAATCATTTTTATTCTAATAAATCAAATGTTTCGAGTGGTTGTTGGCTGGCATTAGCGCAGCGATTTTATTAGTTTTCACGGATTTTTTCCGATTATCGTGAGCATATGGCAGCCGGCATCCGTTCAATTATACCATTGCCGTTATTAGATTTTTTAGATTTAATTAACAAAAGAAAATATATGCGCAACCTTCGCCATTTGTATTCTTTCAATCGGCGATTTGCATTTACAATCTTCGCTGCTTCCTCCTACCTGGACGACAACTTCTTTCAACCTTGGATGCTTCGCAGGTGAAAAATAATGGAACGAAAGGCGAGGTGAAAAAGGCATTTAATAAATGCAAATCTTGACTGTTTTTGAGGGGAAAACGTGTCAAAACATTGAGGTTCGAGAGGGTTCTTCGCGAACGTGAAGATTTCTTTACAGCAATGCTTTTAGTGAGAAGCCTTTTTCTGCTAATCCATTCACTATTGGACGTGGCCATCAAGGAAATGTAAATAAATACATTGAATGACTGACCTCCCAAAAAGGGAATAAGGTAAATTGTAAATGGGATTATCTTTTTTGACTTGACAAAACACTTATTTTAGATAACAAAAACCAAGTACACAGATTTGATATTTTAACCGTAACATATTTTCCTCCACATAAGTTACAGTATTTGGAGTAAATAAAAGAAGTAAATTTCTCGAAAATTAATTATCCTTTTTATATAATTAAAATGAAAGTATTGCTTAAGTATATAAAACAATGAACAAATCTTTGTAGAACCTATTTTCTGGTTAGAAACAATATTGAATTGCTATAATAAAGTGTACAGTATGGATATGGTCGATGTAAACGTAAATTAGAGATGCAGTAGAATAAATGTGTAAGTTGAGAAGGAAAGCTGCGTGTGAAAGTAGTCATCGACGGAATCGTTTCTCTTCCACTTTCCTTTGCTTATTTATTTATACAGTTTTGTTTTTCGGTGAGGAAAATAATAATGGATGGACGAACGGTTGGAAGGTCTTACCCACTACTATCCTCGCCCTCCGCAACGATGTAATCCGATACGTCGGAGCGGCTATACAACAAACAACCCGAGTCTGGATGATGGCCTTTAATGGAGAGACACGGCCACCCCCGAATAACCGCCGTCCTCGCTGCCGCCGCCGCAGATTAAAATCCCCATTAGGGCAATTAACCGGAAGAGCCGCTGTTTGATGAGAGCTGTGCCCTTTCGTACAAGCAAGCAATCGTCTGATATTTCAGTAGAATCGAGGAAGAACCACAATTCGATATAATTTTAAAACTGCCCATTCATTCCCATCAAAAAAGAAAAGATGAAGGAAGACGATACAGCCAGCACCTTTGTCGAGGATCCGGAAGTGTCGCGTAAGCTTTTAGTGCGTTGCGGTTTCACGCTTTTAGTACCTGCACCCATCGACCACCCAAATTGCACCACCGCCTGCCCCACAAAAGTATACGCATCACAACAACGAAAGGAAAACATCTTAAATACTCATTATTGCGTACGCAATAACAATAAACAGATTTACTTTGTAAGAAAAACTGAAAAATTTCGGACATCACATTTGAAACCAAAAATAAAACGCTTTAATCCAATCAGGAAACGATCTTCGGCATTCAGTCATTTAACAAATCGATTCATCCCGCGTTCAAACAGTAAATCCCTATCGATCATCAGCAATGATGGAGCGGTGCGAAAACCCTGTCTCTGTCCTTCTGACTGAGACCTTCGCTTCTTCTCTTCCAGTTTAGCCGATCTACTGGAGGGATAAAGAGTAGAAAAAAAAGAAACTCGATCTATCTACTACGGTTGATGAGAACACACTACTTCTCTTCGCAAATATTGACGGAACGCAGTCCACGTACTTAGCTAGGGAAATCTTAATAAAATCAATACATAGCACGTCAAACCTTAAAATCATCGTATGATGCAATATCGCCTTAATATTCTACATATTAAAAAAAAATAGAATATTAACTGCATCGCCTGGAAAAAAAAAATGCAAGTGGTAAAATTGAATGCGCTATGTCCACACGCCAATATTGCTGCGCAAATATAAACAGTGTACTTTATATTATGTACAAAGCATACATGAGGGAAATATAAATTTGCACAGGGCTTTTGCAGTCGGACAGGGCTCGCGTCCGGATCTGCTGCGATTCCATCAAATCTGGAAACAGTATATATGCACATCCTCTTTTTTTAAATTCTAATTTAGTGTTTAAATAACGCGCGCATGGATAGACGGCTCATTCTGGTAAAGGGTCGAAGGTACTCACAAATGGGCAAATACCGTATGCAACTCTATGTGTGCCCGAGCTACAAATTAAAATACAACCTCGGATATAAAGAGATTCTTGTTAACAAAAATATTTAGTGAAACAGATCATATAATGTTTAGACAGTTTTGATGTTTTGTGTTTCGTAATTACTTGAAAAACAATACTTATGATGTAGTTAACTCAATTAGTTCTAATATTTCGTTGTATTGTCCGGCAAAGTT